GAACAACAATGGATAGTTAAGAATTGCAAGAAGTCTAGCAGCAGGGGTAGAGTATACTCTATGTGTTTTGCTGAGGCTATCTACAGTATATGGCTGCAAAGGAATAGTTTGATATTTACAGGTGACTGTAAACCTGCAGAAACTGTTTTTAAAGACATTATATTTCATGTTGCTATTAGATGTAATGGAGCAGACATGAAGCTGCTTTTGCTTCACTGATTTTCTGGTTGTAGCAGTTTGGTTTCTGGTCTGCTGTTTTTTTGGATGGCAATTGGTTTCTGGTCAGGTTTCTATCTGTTGTGTTATCTGCAGTCTTCAGCAGCCTGCTTCTCTTAGGTGGTAGCTGGTGGTTTGTTTTTCTAGCAGCTGGCTTGTTTGTTTTTGGGTTGCTATTGTTGTTTTGTTGTTGTTGTTGTTCTGTTGTTGTTGCTATTCTATTGTTGTTGCTGTTGCAGTTATGTTCTGCTGTTTCAGGTTTGCAGCAGGCTGTTCTGGGTGGCAATTGGTGGCTTGGGGCTGCTCTGGGTCTGTAGCTAGTTCTGGAAGCTTGTTCTGGTATTGCAAGCTGTCAGTTGCTGGTTCTGCTAGTCTGATCTGCTATTGATGTTCCTGAGCTGCTGCTGTTGCTGTTTTCTGGTTTGCTGCTGCTGTTTTTGGTCTGATGCTATTGCTGGTTTTAGTCAGCTTTTGAATTTTGTGTTGTTTTCTGGTGCTTTGGTTTGTTTTATTCCTTGAGTTGCTGTAATTCCTCTTATGTCTAGTCCTGTTGCTTTTGCAGCTGAGTCTAGGTGGGGGTTTTCTTTTTACAGTTGCTGGGTTGTTGTTTCTTGTTTGCAGGTGTGTCCTAGGCTGTGTTTGTTTTGTGTTCTTGGGCCTGGTTTCCAAAACCCTTCCTAGAAGATGGCTGGAAGCTTGAGCTCAGGCTGTTCTTGTCTCTTTCTCTTGAACCCTTCCTAAAAGGTGGCAGGAGATTGGGCTTGAACTGTTTGGTGGTTGGTTGGCCTGTTTTTCAGGTCTTGTGGGGTTTGGTGTTTGTTACTTCTTAGCTTTTGTAAGTTGTAACTTCTCTTTTGGTAATAAAATTCTTCTTATTTACCAAAAAAAAATAAAAAAAAAATAAAAAAAAATTATGAGTATATACATGGAGTAATTAATTAGCCGAACGCAGGTAGAATTATGATCAATTTCAGAAATGTGTTAAGATCTAGTTTAATCACTTTAAAGATAAAAAACAATCAATTTGAGTGTGTGAAAAAGAGTGTGTATGTTACCATTTTCCTAATATTGATAGCAGCTGGTTGCCTTGAATTTGTCACAACTTTGTGATGTATGTAAGGATTTCTTTCATATATCTCTGGAGGTGGAATGTGTGAGTGTGTCCCCGGACCTCTATAATCAATCTCATATACATCTTCTTCTTTTACTTTTGACACCCCTACAAATCAAATGCATCAAACATTAGCGAACTATATATGTTAAAATTAAAAGATTTTAAAAAGCGACTAAGGTAGAATTTATTTAAAGCGATTATAAATATACATACCAATTTTTTTTTTTTGTTTTTTTTTTTTGAGGAATATATATATACCATATTTGATCTTTGATATCACTTTTTAAGTACTTGTATTTATTAACTAATCTAGTTTGCGCCCATCTTATTATTATGAACTAATCAATAAATAGTTGATGGCAAAGTCAATGAGACATTGGTATATTAGTTAAGAATAAGGGACTGTGAGGTCTTTGATAAAACTGTTAGCTCATTCGCATCAAAATTGAAAAAAAAAAAAAAAAAAAAAAAAAAAAAAAAAAGTTGATGACAAAGATTCAAACCGTTACAAACCTGAAATGATGCAAGGATTGAGTAAAAGACAAAAGATCAAAATAGCAAAAACTCTAGAATACTTGTTGAGCTCCATTGAAGTAAAGTATATATAATTTTACAAATTTTTGGCTTTGAGGTATGTAAGAAGAGCATGAGAAGATACTAGGAAAAAGACGAAATAAAACGGCAATATTAAAAGGAAATATCATGGCTTTTCATTGTCAAAACCGCTGTATTGGTGGTAAGCAAAGCAAAGCAATGATGTGTAATAGGAATTGAGTTGGAGCATTTAATTTGTGCAAATGTGCCATACAACACGACCCACAAACTTTGCAATTGTGCCATAAGCATTAAAGTTTGATTGCCTTTTGCATTAAGTTACTTCCTTAATTTCCCTTTTCAAGCTTCTAATTTATGGAGTGTACGTACCAAAGAGGTGACTTAAAAGGAGAAACCTCATCTTCTTTCTAATTAATTTACCATAAATTGCCTTCACACCCAACTCACAACCAACTTGCCCTACTGTATTTTATAAAATTTAATTGCTTTTCTGATACAGGTTAATATGGGGTGTTTGGAACTTGAGTTGGATGAGTAGGCTAGTGGCTATGGTTTACTTAAATAACGTTCAAATAATATTGTGTACATCAGGTATACAATAATATTCGTGTAAATTAAACAAATTTAAGGTACATTTCAATCAAAATTTAGGTAACTTTTAATCCTATCTTAGCGTAATTTTAAACTTTATATATTATTTTAATATAGATAATAAGTATATATATTTATAAGGATAATATGAATGTATTACACATTGAAATTTGATTTTTACTCAATCTTTAGAGAAAGGGAATTCATTAATAAAAATAATTAGATGATTTTAACTTATAATGGGTAATTCTTAATCATTTTTGGATGACTTTTGATCATTTTAGGATAAATTTATAGCTTATATGTATTTACACCCGTTGGTTAATAATAAGCTATTGAAAATTGCTCAATGGAGGTCTTTAGGTTTGCACTTTAAATTTGAAAGACAAAAGGCTATGAAAATTTCAATGGCAGCCCACTTTTATTGCTTATTCCTTAATGTTACCTTTGCTGAACCACTAAATACGGAGTATTTATTATGTGACAATAAAAGAAGTCGGTTTAGGGATCACTAAGAGTATTTGTTTCAACAAATTTTATCTTTCTTAAGTTTATGAAATGATGACAAATAAACAACTTAGCTAGTTGTTGCATGCTTTGTATTTGCAGTTGTTTCCTAGGTGCAATACTACTATCGAAATCTCTGAAGTATTTCAAGCCTCTTGACAAAGTTCAAGAACAAGTGTATCAAATTTCTTTTATCAAGAGAAGTTTTAAAAGTTGAAGAGCATGAATATCTCTATTATATAGCACTTTATCTTTTAATTAGGTAGTGTAATTGTTATAAGTATGCATGAATAGTTTTGTAGATTGACTCAGTGCTTTATGTTTCGGTTAAGATCCGATAACCCGAAAGCCTGAGTCCGAGATCCGTGAAACTCCTATCGTCCAGATGAGAACCTACACAGAGAGAAGAGATTAAATTAGCTTACTCCGGGGTGATCCGGGGAAAACCAAAGTTATAATATGTTTAAGAAAGAAATAAGAAGTTATGTAGAGAGAGAAAGTAGAGAGAGAGAGAGTAATAAATGCTACCTTGATTATGGGATTAAGCTTGACTATTTATAACCTTTCCAAATGACAGGTGGCTGCATGCCATGCAAAATACCTTGTGCCATATGTCAAAGCAATGTAGCCACGTGCCGATCACTGATAAGCCGACATATCTTTCATATGTATGTATGCCGATATGTTCCATAGTTGTTGTGGATCCGTACCCGTATAAGATATTGGCCCTTTATGCATTGTCAGCCCATTTTTCATATCTCCCCATACAACTAGCCCCGCAAGTGAGTACGTGAAATTGATAAATGTGACGTGCTCACTATATTATGGATTCTTGAAAATGGATGTGCATTTCTTGCACTCTATTGAACACTTTTTCCTACTTTTGTGAACTATTATATTTAGGATGACTTCCGGTGAAAATGTTTTAGTTAATTTATTGTAATTCTCCTTGTTGTGTGTGTTAACCTGTGTATGATGTTGTCTTATAAAAGAGTTGTGAGCAAAAAACTCCGTCTTCCCCCAGTGACCTTATGTGCCGACAGCAGACAAGGTCTACTTAAATTAAAGAGTGGGGAGCGAAAAACTCCGTTTCCCCCCAGTGACCTTGTGTGCTGATAGCAGACAAGGTCTACTTAATTAAAGATTGGGGAGCAAAAAACTCCGTTCCCCCTAGTGACCTTGTGTGCCGACAACAAAAAAGGTCGTTAATTGGAAAACAAATCGTTTATTAGGTTATCACCTTATTTTAATGAGCTTGAAATTTACCATTTATCAAACATGTGTCGTCAATCTAACACTTTTTTTTTTAACTTTTAAAACTACCCCAACCGTTAGATTTCTGACGCAACTGTCACATCAATCGTCACCCTTAAAAACTTCTTTCACTGCCCTTTTTCGATTTTACTTTCATTCGCAAAAAAGAAAAAAAATTAGTTTCTGAGAAATTTTTTAAGGAAAGCTGACATTTGCGCATCAATCACCTTGTTTGAAGCAGTTGCCCGTCTTTCGAGTGCTAGTTTCTAAAGCGTAACCAGGTTGTCGAAGCTCCGCGTTGTGGGCGAATAGTTTAAGGTATTTACAATATTTTATTTTCAATTTGCATGTTTTGTACTTCGTTGCCTCTTTATTTTCTAAGTTTTTAGGTTAAAATAATAATTGTCCAATAGTAGTATTAAGGAAGAACAACCTACCCTTAGCATTGTTAGGCGCCGTCTAATAAGACAATCTTTAGGGAAAGATCTCGGCGGAAACAAAGGAACTGCCTCTTCTCTTTCTGACAACATTGACGATCCATTTCAGCCGTTATTTGAAGTAGCAAAGGGCAGCTTTTTTCCGTCATAAAATACTAGCCGACTGTGAGAAGGCAGCTCGTCCCACTAACCCTAATATTTCGGAGGATGTCGAAATTCTTAACGTTAAACCGGTCAGCGTCCGTTATAATTTGAGAAGTTTTGCCAACACCCATTTCAACCAGTACGGTTCTAACGTTGGTAACATAGGTATAAATACTACATCAATGCCGAGAATGAAACAAACTAGTTATCAGCTTGAGGTCGCAGCTAGGGATGCTGCTGAATCGAGCAAAAAACCCGAGCAAATCAGGTTGTGAGTTCCAGCTCTTTTGAATCTGGTGATAGGGAGGCTCCCTTAAATCGGCAAGAACAAGAAGCATCCCCCGTTCACGATTCTGCAGTGAACTCTTTTCTTGGGGATGAGAATGCTAAGCAAGAGGATAGTGTCCATGCCGAGAGTAGGGACAATATTATCAACCTAACGGCAGAGGTCATTCAAGAAGAAAGTTTGGACGAGGGGTATAACTCCGAAACAGATGATGCCGAGTGTCGGCAACCCCTTACTTTTTCGGCCAGCAGCAAAGTCGCAAAAGCTAAAATATGCGACAAATTTAGAAAAACTGCACTGGAGAAGGATTAATGACATCGCGCTTAACGGTTTTACAACTTGCCCGATGGGTATGATTTGTTCTTTCTTGCTTCCGGGTCATCAGTATTGGATTGCCCTGCTGGTCATGTTGCCATATACGCTAAACATTTTGAATTTGGGTTACGATTTCCCCTTCACTCGTTTGTGGTGAAAATTTTAAAGGCCTGGAACATGTGCTTGGTTTAGTTAACTCCTCCTACCATTCGTGCCATTATTTCTCTCGTGTGGGTTATGCTGTACAGGAATTTCCCTCTAACACTTAATGCATTTCGGAGGCTATTGACTTTGAAAAGAGATGGTCAATCAGAGAGGTGGTGGTCCTGGTATAGAGCCTCTCGTAAATACACAGTTCACCCTAAACTATCCAGCTATAAAGGGTGGCAAGATAAGTTCTTCCTTTTGTCTGTTCCCGATGACTTTCCAATTCGAAGAACTTTCTATCGTCCTCATCCTCGATTCGACACTATTTCCAAGAGAGAACTCGACCAACATGAACTTAGGGTTGTCAGTCATTTTGACATAGTGGAGTCTGAGGATGATAAGGGTAGGCCCCGTCTTACCCCTAAGGTGTGGATGCCAAACGTGGGATACATTCTCGACAATGCCCCCTTATCCCATGTTATGGTACTAACTTATCATCATTTTTTTTACGTTTTGTTTTTTTTCTATCGTGCTTGCACTCATATATTTTATATCAACACAAATGTTAGGCTAAGTTTTAGTTATCCTTACGTGCTCTCATGCTTTCTTTATTTCAGGTGTTGATAAATTAGAAACCAAACAACTTAGGTTGTCAGCAGACGGGAAGAGAGTTATCAGGCAGTACCCAAACCCAGTTACAATACTCTCGCTTCTTATTGCAACCACGCTTCCCCCATCAACCCTAAGAGAAAATCTGAGGCGATGGCTGACGAGCAATCTAAGGAGAGGAAATTAACGGCGCTCGAAACCCGGCGTGGTGGTAACACCGGAACCAGCAACGCAAAGCAACCCAACAGCCGAGCTCAAAGGAAATATCGGGAGACCGAGAAACAAGAAAAACCTCCATCTCCTAAACATGCCGACACTTAAGACAAAACGGTGGTTCCTTCTACGGTGTTAACCACAAAAAACTCAGCCAAATGAGTGATAATTCAGGATATCACTCACATATCTAAATCTCCTTCTCCAATTCTCCCCAACACAACCAGCATTCCCGAGGTCCAAACTAGGGTGGGTGCTACCGGCGGTTCTGATGTGAGTGCTCCTGGCCTCATATATTAGTCTAACCAATGGATCGAATGCCCCGAGGGCAGACTTTCTGGTGAAGTTGTTAAAAGGTTTTCCGTTCTTGACGGCCATTTAGGGGATCGATGGCAGCCGGAGCTTGACGTATCCTGGAATGAATCCTTGTTTGCTAATGATCCTATGCGAGGAGGAAACCTCGGTTGTTGGCTTCTGCGCAATCTTGCGCCTCCAATGGATAAGCTTGCTGGCGCTATCGGTCCCCTTGCTGCCCAGCATATGCATGACCTGATGAAGGTATCTCTTTTGCCTTTGTTAAATTTGTTATTATTTTTTTTATATATGTCTTTATTACCTTGTTATATTATTATTATTATTTTTTTATTTCCTTTGCTAATTGTGATCATTTTCAGGCCATCATGTCTGGTACCGAGGTTGTGGAGATGTATCGACAACATCATCAATCCTCTTTGGACAATGCTGGTAAGGTCATCTCTAAAATCAGAGAGGCAAAACAGAAGGATGACTTAGAGATGGCGGCCCTCAGAGACAAGGTTGCTAAGCTTGAAGGGTTTGAAAAGGATGTCCAGCTTCTAAAAAACCAGATCGCCGAGAAGAGTAAGGACGTAGAGCGCATTCCTTTGCTGGAGAAGGATCTTTCTGATGCCAAGGTTTCCATCCAAAACATGGAGGAAAAGGTTAAGAAAATGGAAGCTGACAAGCCTATCATTCGGCAAAGAGCTGTAGGCAGTTACTTGACTTCTGCAGAATTTGCCACCAAGCTCCAAGACCGTTTTGGTGGAGGGTGGACTACTGCGTAGAGGTGTATTTCTCAGGTTGCCGGTTGGTAGAAGGATGATTGGGCTAAGGTTGAGAAAGCCTTCAACAAGGGAGCTCATAAGATTCCTTCTGGTTTTAAGCAGCAGGAATTTGTCAAGGAAGATCTTCTCAACCTTGTTCCAGCTACTAATGACGGCCCCTTAAACCCCAGTATTCTAAACTATCCTGAGCTTAAAAATCCACAAGCTTGAAGGGGCGGGCAGTCATCACCGACATCATTGTGTGAATCTTATGTAATAGGGCCTTATTAGCCATGATCTTGAACTTTGAAACATTTAATATTTTTGTTTAGCTATGTTGTATTCCTTTTGATAATGCTGTTATAGCGGCATGTACCCCTTTTGTGGTGATGCCTATCGATTACCGTTCTTGTTTCTATACATTTATCCTTCCTTTTCTATTTTTGTTTGTATCAATTTTCGCATTTTAAGTTTCCATTTGATAGCGTCTTTAACATATAATTACTGAAAATTTATATCGGATTCCTTATTTAGATTTGCCATCTGTCAGAATGCTATTATATTGGTTATGTACATTATCACTATCAGCAGCTATCAACCTTTCAGCAATCAAGTTCTCCGCTTTATTAGTAGCGGTGATAAATAACCAACATATATTGGTTTTATTTTTTGGCAAGCAACATTTATTATTTATGCACCGCTATCTGTTGCCCCCGTAGTGCAAGTATCTGTAATACAGATATGTGCATTTTACTTCCCCTTTTTTATTGTACTACTCATGTAGTTGCTGCTTCAGAGTATAACGCTGGTCACCTACTGCAGTATTTTCATAGTCAGTTAAGTACCCTTTTCGGCAATCATAAACAAAACTACGCCTCATGTCGGCATATACTATGAATTGATTTGGCCGGTATTATATTTTGAACCAGCAATCTCGTGAGTTAATGAATACAACTGATCAGGTTTTAATGACATTATCATCACGGAAACGATTTTAATTTGTCCGTCCTACGTATCGATGATTTGTTAAGTGGAGGATGCTTATGTTATAGACAGTGTGGGATAACTTTATTCTTATTCATGACTGATATTACTTGTACATCAATATCAGCTGTGTATTTACAAAAGGACATTATATTATTCTTTAATCATAATACTTTTTAAGCACTGTGGTATTCCAGACATTCTTTAATGGTTTCCCGTCCATTTTCTCCGAGTAGAATGACCCTTGCATTACCTTATCTCTTATCCGGTATGGTCCTTCCCAATTTGCTGCTAACTTTCCATCTTCATTTCCTTTTCCAGTTGCCGTTGTTATGCGAAGTACCAAATCTCCTGTATTCAGAGGCCGGTAGTTAACCCTTTTGTTATACACCCTCGACATATGGTCCTTATAGGCAGCCGATCTAACGGCCGCTTTCTCTCGTAGTTCCGGTAGGAAATCTAGTTGTTGTCTCAGCAACAAATCATTTTTCTCTTCACAGTAATGTTGAATCCTAAATGTCGGCAATCCTACCTATGCTGGTACCACTGCTTTTGTCCCAAAGACTAAGCTGAAGGGTGATTCAACTGTGGCTACTCTGACTGTTGTTCTGTTTGCCCACAGTATTTCAGGCATCAAATCAGCCCACAAGCCTTTTGCATCTTCTATCTTTTTCTTTATAGCCGTTATGATTTGCTTATTTGCCGCTTTTGCTTGGCTATTGGATTGCGGATGAATAACTGCAGCATACGCGAACTTAACCTTGTACAAATTTAGAAGATCTTTAACAGGCTTATAATCGAATTAGGAGCTGTGATCGAAAACCGTTGCCATCAGCAATCCAAACCTTGTGAAGATATTTTTCCAAATGAACTTATTCACTTCCGATGTTGTTATCTTTGCTACTGGCTCAGCTTCTATCCACTTTATAAAGTAATCTATACCAACCAAGAGAAATTTCCTTCCTCGCGTTGCTGACGGAAACGACCCTACTATATCCATTCCCCACTGTGCAAAAGGAACTGGATTCAGTATTGGCATCAAATCATTTGGCGGTAAGTTGATAGCTGGGGAAAACTTTTGGAATTTCTCACAATTTTTTACATACCGGGAGGCATCTTCATTCATTGTAGGCTAGTAGTACCCCCTTCTCGTTGCTTCCCATGAAAGAGCTCGGGCACCGAGGTGATTCCCACAAGTTCCTTCATGAATTTCTTCAATCAACCTTGCAAATTTGTAATCTGTTATGCACCTTTGTAACGACAATGAGAAACCCCTTTTATACAGCTGCCCCTGGTACATGATGAACCACACACTATTTTTCTAAATTTTCTGGATTCCCCCTTATTAGTTGGCAGTGCTCCATGTAGGAGATAAGCCAATATCTTATCGTACCATTGACTGTCGTTATCAACACACATCACTTCTTTCAATGTCTCATCTATTCTTCTTTGCCTTAAAATTTTTACCATATCCGTTCTCTCCAGGTCATTGAAACTTGAGCTGGCTAACTTTGCTAAAGCGTCACCCTGCACATTTTTTTGCTCTCAGCACCAGCTTCACCTCAAAATATTGCAACTGTGCCGCTAATTGATTAATCATTTCAAGGTATTTTACCATTGCTCACTCTCGTGCTTCATATTCTCCACTAAATTGGCTGGACACCAACTGAGAGTAAGTTGTAAGGACCAACCCATTTTCTTCTGCTGCTATCAAAAATTGAATACCGGCTATGGTCGCCTTATACTCGGCTTCATTATTTGTAGCTTTGAACTTGAACTTTAAAGCATATTCGAAAGTTTTCCCATCCAAGGCTGTTATCAAAACACCTGCCCCAGATCCAGTTGTTGTTACTGAACCATCCACTGATACCTGCCACATTCCCAATTCCTCCTCCTCATCATTATATGAAGTTTTATCGATGAAATCTGGCAAGGCTAGTGCCTTAATTGATACTCAAGGTTTATAATGCAACTCGTACTCTGTCAACCCTACATCCTATTTCAATAAACGGCCTGATGTATCCATTTTTTGCAGCGCCTTCTCTAATGGGTGATGTGTTAGCACCTCTATTGGGTGAGCATCAAATTAAGGCCTCAACTTTTTGGCCGAAACTACCACTCCCAGTGCCATCTTTTTTATTACAGGATATCTACGCTCCGCATTGAGGACATGGCTGACAAAGTATATCGACACCTATTGCTTTTTTTCTTTCTACTAAGAATATTGCCGCCAGTGTATTTGTTGAGGCCGATATGTAGAGTTGCAACCGCTCACCTCGTTCTGGCCTTGCAACCTTTGGGAGGGATCTCAAATGATTTCTCACCACCTCAAACGCTTCAACTTAATCCTTGCCCCATTCGGAGGTTTTATTCTTCCTAAAAACCACAAAGAACGAAAGTGCTTTATCTGCTGCTTTGCTAATAAAGCGGGTCAACCCTACCATTCTGCTCGTAAGCCTCTATATATCCCGAATTGTTTTCTATTGTTTCATTTCTTGAATTTCATTCACCTTATCATAATTTGTGTCGATACCTCGTTCACTCACCATAAAGCCCAATAACTTCCCCGATCTGACCCCAAAAACACATTTTTCGTGAATCAACTTCATCTAGTATCTTTGCAAAGTTTCAAATGTTTCTTTCAAATCCGCTATGTGATCTTCATTCAACCTACTCTTCACAATTGTGTCATCTACATATACTTCTACATTCCGTCCCTTTAACTTCTCAAAAATCTTATTAACCAACTTTTGATAAGTTGCCCCTGCATTTTTCAACCCAAACGGCATAGCCTTATAGTAAAACACTCCAGCATCTGTTATAAATGATGTTTTCGCTCTATGTGACTTGCGAAGGCTGACCTGGTGATATCTAGAAAATGCATCCAAGAAACTCAGCATCACATTGCCGGAAGTGGAGTCTACCAGCCTGTCTATCCGTGGCAACAGATAGCAATCTTTGGGGCAAGCCTTATTTAAGTCCGTGAAATCCACACACATTAACCATATTCCTATTGGCTTTCTAACCATTACAGCATTTGCCAACCATTCTGGATATGTGCATGGTTCTATAAATCCTGCCGCCAAGAGTTTGTTAACCTCAGCTTGTATTGCTTCAATATTCTCTATTGAGAAATTACGCTTCTTTTGTCTTATCGGCCTAAATTTTCTGTCAACGTTCATCTTATGCTCCATAACCTTAGGATGTATTCCAGGCATCTCATTCGCCGAGAAAGCAAATACATCGGCATTCTCTCGCAACAAATTTATCAGGTGGCACCTCATATCAACATCCATATCTTCCCCAACTTTGACTTTCCGACTAGGATCTCCTCGTAGAAGTTCAACTTGTACCGTTTCTCCTCCTAGTGACAGCCTTGGTGCAGTTTCCGGCCTTGCATCAAAATTTCCCATTGACATATCTCGCACCATTGTTTCCCTTTCTCTTTTTGGATTATTCGGTATTGGACCCTCCTGCACTGGATTCTTTAAAGCTGTCACATAGCATGATTTTGCCATTACCTGCCCTCCGTGTACCTTTTCTACCGCTCCCAAATTTGACATATACTCAATTGTCAGATGATAAGTTGACACTACTACTTCCACATCATGAATTATCGGTCTTCTGATTATAGCATTGTAAGCCGACGGTACATTAATTACCAAAAACTCTGCCATCACATCCCTTGCCGCTATTCCATCACCTAGTCATACTGGTAAGACAATGCTTCCTTCTGGCCTCACCATTAACCCATTAAATCCAATTACTGGGTAGGTTACTTGCGTCATGTACTGCCTCCCAATCATCATTTCATTAAATGCTTGAATGAATAGCCCATTCGCTAAGCTGCCGCCATCCACTAAGACCCTTTTAATATCAGCCCCATTTATCTTCGTTATCAACACTAGTGGATCGTCATGAGGAAAGACAATTCCCTTTACATCTTCCTTCGTAAACACCACATTAGGGATACAGGTAGGCCGGGGGCGACTATTAGCATCGAGGGCATTGATTATATGTCGGTGTTCCGATAAGTTCTTCCTTGCTCTTGTTGTTGTTCCTCCATGTTCCGGCCCCTCAGTTATCCCGTCAACATTTTTCCCTATTCACGGCAAGCCTTCATCCCCTTGCCAAACAATTCCGGCTTGTGGCCTTTTGGGCCTTTCTTCAAGTTGTTGGCGTTCTGCCTGCCGATATTTCATTGGCTGACTTCCTCCCACATTCAACCGATATAGAGCCATATTCCCCTTCCTTATCAGCTCTTTAATGTTATCTTTCAACTATGTACATTCCTAAGTGTAGTATCCCACATCTCGGTGAAACATACATTACATCTTGGAATCCCTTCCTTTTGCCTTCATAGGCATAGGTCTCACCCATCCTTCTCGGTTCTGATTGACTGAATATATAGCATCCCTCGGCATGTTCAATGGTGTGCACGAAATGTACCGCATTGGCGC